AAACCCAAACTACTCCCTCTATGTACAACAGTTTCATAAACAAACCCAAACTACTCCCTCTATGTACAACAGTTTCATAAACAAACCCAAACTACTCCCTCTATGTACAACAGTTTCATAAACAAATCCAAACTACTCCCTCTGTGTACAACAGTTTCATAAACAAATGTTATTTAATGTCATACAATTTTATTAAAAAGCATACAAAGAGTCTAAACATATATAAAAACATGGAAGTACAAATAACGATCCTCTTTTATTTCGTGTTGTAGTACAAGAAATAACGTACAAGCAGTACGTCTGAAGGCTTATGCAGCTAAAATCCGGGTTTCGATACCCACGGTTGACACACCACAGATAGCCCACTGTGCAGCTTTTTACTTAACACCACCAACAAGAAAATTACATGTCTACGTCAGTTATTTAATATTAAGGGAGCCGATTAAGAAATTGTACTCACCAGGTGGATGGCTGCGATAAGACCCGTACTGGTTTGAGCCTCCGGTTTCCATGGAAACGGGCTCACGTGGCGCTCGATCTGAAGTAAGAGAGGGGTGATTTTAAGAACAAAAGGGATGTCGTGACGTTGATTGACATATTTTTATTGGTTTTTTTCATGTAATATTTAAATATTACTTTAACGCCACCTACCATTATATATTGTTTCATACGTAAGGACTAAATTACTATAATTAACTGCTTATACTGATACAAGCTAGTTACCAATATCGAAAATCGAGTTATAAAAATTCCAATATACGCCTTTTATGTCTCGAGTTGATTAATAACGTTAAAGGTTTAATAATCTGTCATATTGTTGGAAGCAAATGTTCACTGTATGGCTCACCTTTTGGACTGACAAGATCTTGGGGGTAAATACTGTAAGGTGGCGGAGGAGACTCTGGAAGACGGAAGCCAAAACAAAAACATTAGAATTTCAAGTTATATACAGCCACTACATGTTAAGTTTCTGTTTCGATATTCCCAAACATTTACGTTATTTTTAAAATTAGTTTTAAGATTAGTTAATATATTAACGAGACAGTGCTCTACGATTATAGACGTCCTTGTTTTAACAACTTGTTATAGTTAACTATTAAATTGAAATATAGTCCGATCCAGTTAATATCAAGTTTTACAAAACTAGAAAAACAGTTACAGCAGATTATGTAAGACTAAACTGCAGCTGTAAAACAATTACGCCGAAACAGTCGAATAAAATGTAAAAAACAGAAACACATCAAAACGGCCCTAAACTGGAGAACGTGTGATGAGAGTTGCTAGGCCTCTCCGTTGTCAAAGGTTATGGGATATCGTCTGCTCATCTTAAATGTTGTTAGGGTTGTGTGCAGTGGCACAGCGGTATGTCTGCGGACTTACAACGCTAGAATCCGGGTTTCGATACCCGTGGTGGGCAGAGCACAGATAGCCCAGTGCATAGCTTTGTGCTTAATTAAAAACAAACCACGGTTCTGGGGTATTGTTTGCACACTTCGTTTACTTACGTCACTGACGCTAGAGAAATCAAACAAATACTCAAGCACGTGCATGTCTCTCTCTATCAACAGCGAGCGCTTCTAAACTAACATTGTAACATGTTTCTCTAAATCATTATTGCTACAGTCATGGGCGATAAAATAGTTGTGTCTTTTGGTATAATAGAACGTGACCTAAATACATCACTTACCAAAACAGCAGAAGAACAAATCATGAAAGAAAACTAACGCATCTCCAGGGGTATTCTGTACCACCTGACATTTAACATTTACCAAGAAACTAACTTCCGCGAACATATACGATTGCACGTGCATCTCTACGGGTGGATTAGGCTTTCTGTTAGTTAGTGTGAAGTATTGATATTTTTTTACCGTTGTTTTGAAAAGACTTATATTTCTGCTTATATCCATAATTTAAACCTCGATGTTGGTAAAATTGTAGTAACAATGTTAAAAGGGTAATTAACGAAGAGGTTTAAGCACTTCTAAAACTTACATGTCCTTGAATCGGTTCTCCCGTGTGGTGTTTAATACCGTTACAGCTGATCCGCCCCCCCCCCTTATACAAACGCAGCTTTTCATGTTACCCCCCCCCCCAAAAAAAAAAAACGTTGACTGGTAAAGAATTTTAATCTACTGGTTTACATCACGACTTGTTAGTTTAAACTAATACGACCAATTAATGTTCATGTTGATTATCTATACTTAAAAAAACGGCCTCTGTGTGTATGACCGCCATAGCTCCAAGAAGAAAGACCCTAGAAACCCGAAACTTCGCTTGTTTACTAAGGGAATTCTGAGGGTGTGTATGTGGATATTATTTTTTGGTTTTGACTTTTAAAATTTTGGCTAATTTTTGGCCCTATAGTCCTTAAGCCCCATAATTCTGTTTCCCGAATGTCTATAGAAAAGTATCATATTTTTTCTAATTCTCACTTACTGTATAAACACAATAAATGGAGGTTTTCTATAATATACTTATTTTTCAACACAAACATGGGCAGAGAAATAGAAACCCGAGAATTAAAAAAAAAGATTGAAAAGACAATAAACAAAGAGAAGAAAAATCAAAAAATATTGGAGAAGGAAAATAATTCAGAGAAAAACACAAAGAAAAAAAACGAATCTGAGAAGCTAACTTAAAACTATTTGCTTTTAAAAACAGTTGAATTAAGTTCGGAAAATGGCAACAAACAAATCAATTAAAGAATTGGCGCATGGGGATAGCTATAGTAGTAATTAAGATAATGGTTAGTACATTGAAGCGTCGGAGTGAGTATTTTATACTAGTGTTAAATAAATAGAAACCACATATAAGCTAAACAGTTGAATCAGCTAGTAGAAAATATATGGTAAAATATAACTCTGATCAACATTTTGCTGTTTACTCCAGGTTTTTAGACTCGCGTTTTGAAGCTGCTGGCAAGCTATCTTATTAAATTTGACTTTTCGATAAATTATAACAATCATATGTATACAATACGATGTTTATAAAAAACGATAGAACTTTGTAAAAACTGACAGTACGTGAAACTCCGTAGCGACAGCATGAGCTTTAAGTGTCGTAAAACATTTACAGAATGTTTTACGATTTGTAAGGGGAACACATCGTTTCTATAGACCCCCTGTAACAGTGTTTTACGATCTGTAAGGGAACACATCGTTTCTCTAGACCCCCTGTAACAGTGTTTTACGATCTGTAAGGGAACACATCGTTTCTCTAGACCCCCGATCTGTAAGGGGAACACATCGTTTCTCTAGACCCCCCTGTAACAATGTTTTACGATCTGTAAGGGGAACACATCGTTTCTCTAGACCCCCCTGTAACGTAAAACATTGTTACAGGGGGGGCTAGAGAAACGATGTGTTCCCCTTACAGATCGTAAAACATTGTTTCAGGGGGGTCTAGTGAAACGATGTGTTCCCCTTACAGATCGTAAAACATTGTTCCAGGGGGGTCTAGAGAAACGATGTGTTCCCCTTACAGATCGTAAAATATTGTTACGGGGGCTAGAGAAATCATTCAAAAATACAATTTGGAATTATTATATATTACATCTGTAAAATGTTAGTAAACTAATTAACGGATAAATACAATTCGAGATTGTCTTGTTGGTAGCGGAACATTCGTAGGTCCCGTATGTATATATTACTAATACAACATCAACTACCAACACGTGACATATACTGACAAAACTCGCACTACACCGTATCTGCCTCACGTGCAGCCCAGCTGACAAGTTCTGGTATTGAACGATAACCCTCCTTGGCACTAACGAGTAACGAACAATTCATTTCAACTGGAGGAATCTGATTTAAGATTAGTTACCAAGATGAATGCACAACCAATAAAACATCTTCAGAGTAATGTGGCTTCACCACTATTATTAGGCCTATTGATTTTGCTGGCTTTTAGCCTTTAAATCGTAACATACATACATAACCCTCAGATCTAGAATTTCGGGTGATTGCTAACACTGCTCTGTTCTGTTAAGTTTGTTTCAGACGTTTCGCGCGAATGACTGTATAGGTATAATCGTCTCTAATTTTCAACTGAAAGACAGCAATCTTATCTGACCATATATGGAAGTAAACCAGTGGTTCCCAGACTTTTGGTAATCACGGACCAGTAAAACATTTTCGGGGACCGACATTCCAAATAAAATATATGTTAATTATACGTAAAATAATACAAAAAACAATTTATTTCGAAAACAAAAAAAAAAGGTAAGGCTTAGGCGACTTTTAGTCATCAAATATTGAGAGAAAGATGCTTTCAACAGTCAAGACACCGGTAACAGTCCGCCAACCGGCGTTTGGGAAACACTGAAGTAGATAATCCCTCTTATAATACACCCCAGGCCCTAAAACTAGGGCCCGAACAACAGACCCTCAGATTCACAGTCTAACCACCAGGCCCTTATAAATTGGAAATTATTATATGTCGGCAATAATAGTCGGGCAACAATATTGGAAATATGTCGGCAATAATAGTCGGGCAACAATATCCATAATTTGTTTCTCACTCGACAAAAAAAAAAATCAATAAATATTGTATTCTCGAAAACAAACTGTGAATTCAGCAAAACGAGCAAACAATGATTATTATCTTATTTTCAAATATAAACGCATATATTAAACCAATGTCGTAGAGAAACCTAGTAAAGTTAATACATCAACAAGGACCTGAAGACGAAAGGTGGAAGACTTTAGAAACGTCGTCCTCTACAACAGGCAGTTGTCGTCCATTCTTTAAAGTTTCGTCGTGAATACTCTGCCTAAACAATCTAGCAAAGATTTATCACACTTGGAGATTGGAAATACAGTCTGCAGACTTACAACGCTAGAAACCGGGTTTCGATACCCGTGGTGAGAAGAGTACAGATAGCACATTGTGTAAGTTTGTGCTTAAACTACAAACAGTTTACAGTTCTACATAGTGGTATATTTCAGTTAATTCAGTGTTTTACGAAAACACTACTAAACACTGCTTATAATCTTACATAGAATACACTCGTCGTGATGCAGGGAGAGTGGTAACACCAATCATTAGGTCACGAACACGAGAACTTGAAAGATTGCGTTACGTAGGCAACAAGTAAATAATTCATGCTTAGGAGTATACAAGGTCATCGTGACAGTGAAACAGCATGAAAGTCCTCGCGACGCTGAGTATTATAGGTAGTGTTGTCGCGGCTGTGGTTTTTTGTTGTTATAAAATAATTACTTACTACAAAGGTGTAATAATTCATTTATTAATTATCACACAATAACTGCACGACTTAAAGATCTTTATTTAACTATCTACACAAACAATAGCAACAAATTACTGCTGAAACTAAAGGCTCTGTTCTTTCGTTAACTTACTGAACTATTTGACTGATCTACGAAATATGAATATTTATTTTAACTGTTAACATCACTAACACGAACATCAGCAAGATATATATTAGTTAGACAAAAGTAATCGTTAAACTGATAGTGATGAAGATAGAATAGTAAAAGTATTCATCATAAAATGTTTAGTACCGTTAAAAAAATTAACTTTGAGATAACCATTCATCCTAACCAATCAACACAGGAGTTTGGAGGCCTAAATCTTTCATTGCCGTGCGATAACCATTCATTCTAACCAATCAACACAGGAGTTTTAGGGCCTAACTCTTTCACTGCCGTGCGATAACCACTCATTCTAACCAATCAACACAGGAGTTTTAGGGCCTAACTCTTTCACTGCCGTGCGATAACCATTCATTCTAACCAATCAACACAGGAGTTTTTGTGCCTAACTCTTTCACTGCCGTGCGATAACCACTCATTCTAACCAATCAACACAGGAGTTTGGGGGCCTAACTTTTTCACTGCCGTGCGATAACCATTCATTCTAACCAATCAACATAGGAGT